AAAGAGCAAACATATTTACACATCGCACGCTATGTCATGGGTGATGTTCACCTCAACATCATTGTATTGGGATGCACAGCATACCTTAGTTAACGTTAAATCTACAAAATCGATGTTTTACATCTGTTCATCATCTTTGGCTTAACTTGTACAATACAAAATGAAATGAAATATCGAGGGTTGGGCCGGCGACTTTTTGTCAGTGGCTGGGAGGGAGGCGGAGGCTCGTTATCGCGCAATCGACTCGCAAGATTAGCTTAAGAATTTCCAACGAAACGAGAGAAAAAAGTGTACCACCCGCAGGGCAGTCAAGCTGAATGATTTGCTTTTCGTGTCTGCCCTTCCCCCTCCCGTCCTCGACAAGGGCGCCAGCCCAATGAGTGTCGCTAAGTGGAATAAGGTGGTTCTTGATCTAGAATATGTCGGTCTGAATACTGCCACTGCGCGTGTCGCTGGGGTTAGCTGGAGAGGAGGGCGGTGAGGACAGCAGTGACTCGTCCAGGTCCCACGCCTTGTCCTCGAACTCAATGTCTGGCTTTCCGGGCAGGGGCTCGTTCGTGTGGTACACGCCGTCGTACTTCAGGGGCAGTTTCTCGGGGACGCGCTTGGCCGGCCTGCCCTGCGAGTCGGTCGGGGACGGGGTGGCGGACGCGCCGAGCAGCGGCGGCGCCTGCGTCACCCCCAGGTCGCTGGGGGAGCTGTCGACGCCCACCCCCGGCTTGTACTGGCCCGCCCCAAAGCCCGAGTCGCCGTCGTACTCGTTGGGCGACGCCTTGCCCAGCAGGGAGGACGTCGTGCCCTTGGCGCCCCTCTGGCCGCGCGACCGGAACGACCGGCGGAAGGAGCCGGCGTCGAACTTCCAGGACGACGCCGACCCGGCCTCGCGCTGGCGCTTGACGTAGCGCATGTACACGGCTAGGATTATGACTACGATGGGGAGGATGATGAGTAGGATTGCGCCTATGGGCACCCAGGTGTTTTGCGACTCGTACTCCACCATACCTGGAGGAGGAAAGTCATTTATAATTTATTTGTCTCGGTCGGATTGTGTCCGCCTAGCAGAGGACGGCCTCGTGACTGCGTCTGAAAAAAGATGCCAAAGATGCGGGGAAGGAGAAGGGGGGCTCCGGGGCGGGGACAGAAGGCGCAAAGAGAGAACACGAAGCTGAAATGAAGGACACGCTGGCAGCGTTGGAGCAGCTTTCGCCACGGCGGACTACACTTCGTCAACTATGAAAGATGAGAAACACGTGCCCTGTTGATGAAAGGGGTGCCACTGAATGGCCGCGAGCGAGGGAATGCTGGCGTAATACTCACGGAGGCACTCGGTGTATCCGCTTTCAGGGGTGTCCCAACGCCCCTCCGGCAGGCAGGTCCGACGGGCGTCGCCGACGAGGACGAAGTTCTGGTTACACTCGAACACCACCTTCGTGCCGGGCACGAACAGGAACGTGCTCTTGCGGCCGAAGCGCGGCGTCTCCAGGATGCCGCATGAAACCACTGAGGGGGTGAGGGCAGTCGTGAAGTTAGGCCGAGTTAGGCGGCACTCGTTGTGTCTTTTTAGAGAGGGGTGATGGACCGATGGATCTTACCTCTTCTATGATTCACTGTCTTTAAGTTGACGACCTCGGCGTGATACTTCAGCGTGTAGTGGGCTACGTCCCTGTTCAGTGTGACCGAGTAGTCGTACATGCACGGGTACGAGTCCCCGCACAGGGCCTTTGCCATCTCGATATCTTTCGACCTAGGTGAACCAAAAAATAATCACACATATTGAGAATGCTATCCTCTTTAACTAACTTTGGGTCACAGTACGCGCAGAGAAAAATATTTGTCATACCGATTTGCTGGGATGATATCCTCTGGCGTGGCCTTAAACTGCGGCACAAAGGTTTTATTGGCGTAGAAACTCGAAAGTCGTCCGTATTCTCTGAGGAAGAGGGCGGCTCCTTTGTTCTTGTCGTCCTTGTCCTCCAGCATCCCTGTTACCAAAAGTGAAAGATTAGCGTACCTCCATTAGCCGATTGGCATTCGCTCGCATCAGGCAAGCGCCCATAACTTAGACGTTTCCACATTCACTCACATTTCATGGCAAAATCTTTATGTACTCTCTCGAAGTTGTTGAGATTGTTGGTCACCGGAGCCAGCGTGCCATCGGGTAGCGTAAAGTCGTCCGTCATGTCAAAACTCCAGTTGCCAAACAACCCTTTAGTTTGATTCTGAGGAATTAAGAGATTATGATAGTTTAAAAAACAAAAGCAAAAAACACAGTCACGCCGTATGATGCAAAACTAAGACCTCAAATAAATGTATTTCGCAGGTAAAATGTCAGTACTCACAATGTATGTCCAGGGTAGGTACACTCGTGCGGACATGTATCCGTTGTTTTCTACCACCTCAACCCCTACTCCCGATTGGAACATCATGATGACCTCGGACTGGTTGAGAATGTAGGTGGGCGTGTACACCGTCACACCTGCAGGACGACATGAACGCGAACGTGACAGGGTTGGGAGGCATCCATTTTGCGACATGCGCCGCGAGTCCGTAATTACTCGTTCCCTTTTAGCGCCTCTCCTCTTACCTTGGAAGTGCTGTATCCGGAGGGACTCGCGGTCGAAGTACACCCGCCTATTGTCTGCGAACACGTCGAGGCGGTACCGCCACTGCGCGTACGACGGCCGGATGCGCACCTCGATGATGGTGGAGGAGTTGTCCTGTGCCGCGATGGAGGTGAGCTGCGTGGCGGCCACGGGCCCGTACAGGTTGGGCGGCATCTGCTCGAAGCGCGCCTGCACGTCCAGCTTCTGCTTCTGCGTGTCGACGTGCACGAGCACGAACTCGCCCTTACCGTTGAAGGTGTACTGCAGGTTGTCGAAGGTCACCACGTGCGGGTCTCCAAACACGGACGCTATTTTTGAAAGGAAAAGAAAGGTACTTAGCTGGCTGTACAGTTGGACACCGAAAAAAGCAAGTACATGAAATCTAGTGCATTTTCTTGAAACAAGTGTTTGGACTCAAATGAACTGGGTGCATGTATTTTTTTTAAAAAAGAAAATGCACTTAATTTTAAGTATATGTTTTTCGGTGTGCAGTTTGTTTTGTATCTTAAACTTTGGTGACTGTTAAATTATGTTGTTAAGCTTCGCCAACGTACCCACTTCCGGAGGCTGATAAGACACGCAGTCTTGTGTTGGCCTGCGCTCGAAACGGAACGTCTCGCATCCCACCGCCTGCTCGTCTTGCCACATGCAGCAGTGGTAGAAGGGGATCATATCATTGTACCACTGCGACAGTGTTGGCACCTGGAACACATACAGTATGGTTAATTTAACTATATTTTATGCGATTCACATCACCTGAGAGAACTCTTGTGCCCTATATTTGTCTCGGGTGGCTAGCTTGCTTGCTTGCGGGCCTTAAACGAGGGCTATAATAGGTGCCTTTCCTCGTTATTTTTCGTATACTGTCTCTGCCCCCCTTTCCCGTGATTCAGTGGCGCTCTCCTGCGCCCAGCGGCCGAGGAACGTATTTATCGCCCTCGGGGAAATTTATCTGCCGCATCCGACCGTATCGCACGCTTCAGGGCAAAATTAAAGCAGCACGATCGGGTGGCTTCTTTCTGCTTTTGCCTTTCAGTATACGGAACGCCGGACGCTCGATACGGACCTTGTTCGCCTCGTTCCAGGGCAGCACGCCGAGGTTGTGCGAGCGATGCGGGCGGGAGCCCCACATCTGGTCGTAGGACATCATGAGGTAGTTGTTCTTGTCGTAGCAGCACTGCTGGCCCGAGCCCTGCAGGCTGGCCGCGCCCGTGCGCACGCAGTGCACGGCCCCCTTGTGGTAGAAGCACTCCGGGTTGGCGACGCGATCGCACTCAAAGTCCGGCAGGAAGCGGCCCTTGTCGGACAGCGCCTGCTCCAGCGTGCACGGGCACTGCGCCACCTCGGCGGCGAAGTTCTTGCGGTAACGGTCGTCCATGAGCCAGTTGTTGCACAGCGCCTCGGGCCACTTGACGCCGTACAGGCGCTCCCACTGCGGCCCGAAGTACCAGGCCAGCGGGATGGGCCGGCTCCACAACGTCCTGCGGGAGAGGGTGGGGGAGTGCGTGAGCAGACACTACAGCGAAACCCGGAGCACCTATAAGACCTATGATATGGACAGCTCGCAACTTACGGGGACACGGAGAGGCCAGAGTACTGGGTGGGATTCATGAGGCTGATCTGGATGAAGCCGAAGTGCATGTTTGTCATGTTGAGGTTGTTCCTTTGGCGGTACGCACCGGGCGAGATGCTGTAGGACCCAGTGTTGGGCACGCCCTCCTGTAGTGCAGATTGATTCCGAAGCATTACAGAGGGCACACGAGAAAACATTAAAAGAAATTTAGGTGCAAGCTCCCACTTACCTCAAGAACGTCGATGAACACCAACTCGGGGTGAATGGTGGGCTCCCTGTAGCCGTACAATGCGACCCTGAGGGAGGCGGCCGTGTTGGCCGTCAAGTTGTACGCGTTCCACTTGAACTTGATCTCGGCGGGGCTCTTCTGGTGCACCGACCGGTCCATGAAGGTGATGCGCTCAGTGGCGGTGGCCGGCGTCTCCACGAAGAACTTGCCCTTGTAGTTGAAGCGCGACTCGGTCGTCGAGATCTCGAAGCGCACGTAGCCGTCGGCCCACAGCCGCGGCTGTACGCACAGCGCCCGGTTGACGTCGACCACGGTGCCGGACACGTCCTCGTCGTCGAACCGGCACAGCACCTTCTCGCCGGGCACGAAGCACGGCCCCGTGATGTTGACCACGGTGCCGCCCAGCATGTTGCCGCTCTCCGGGGCGAACACCAGCGGGAGGTTGGCGCCGGCTGCAAAACGCGTTCTCGTTAGTCAAGCGGACTGCCTCAGCATGAGGCAAGGGAGGCCAACTCGTATATTCCCGTGTGCCCTTCGTCGTATTTCTTGTATTTTACTACGTGTACACTGGAACCGCAATTGTGTGAATGTCGCACACTTGTGTGAACGCTATTCATACACATGGAGGCTCAAGTGTGTGAATTTTCGAAGTTAAATTCACACCTTTACTCCCTTAAGTGTACGAAAATGGGCATTCACACATTTAGGCGTTTCCAGTGTGGTTGCACAACTTTGTTTCAAAGGGATTTCGCGACGCTGCTCCCTTTTGCGATGCGCTCCTGTGGAGCGCGCGAGGGCAACCCGGGTCACCGCACCGAGCGCGTGGTAGTGGGAGCGTTGCCGGCGACACAGGGCCAGCGGGGCGGAAGCGCCCGGCTACAGCGGGGGGTTGGAAGCCAGACCCGTGTGTGGGCTGTAACTACAGGAACATCCGCAAGACGTCTGCCTCCGCTATGCAAGCCCGCAGAAGAGAAATTGACGACGCCACCCTATCCAAAGTTTGCGTCCCCTTTTGCTGCCAAGGACCCTGCTGCCGCCGGTCCGGGTGGTTTCTCTGCGTCACGAGGAAGCCATTCAGCCTGCTTGTGACGCAGTGGCGAGCCGGGCCGTCTCCCTTCTTCACCATGACCTCACCAACGTCCTTGTTGCAGTTGCCGCTGAGGATCTTCTCGTCGATGCGGAAGATGTGTCTGCCCGGGAAGCCGTTCACCCAGCCCCTGCTGCTCAGGTCGCGCACCGTCGTGAACTGGGAGTACGGCTTGTACTCGTAGCTCTGGGTGCCGTTGCCGCCATTGAAGCCAATCTGTTGCAATCACATCATAAGTTTTTTTTAAAATTGTATTAATTTTCTGCGTGTCGTTTAGTCGAGTTGTCTCGAAGTGAGCGCGAATCCATACTTACATACGCGGGGGAGCCGCCCTCACCCGTGGTCGTGTCACCGTACGCCTCCGTGTGCGTGGTCCACTGGATGTTGAGGTAGTTGAACATGGCGTAGGTGTACACTTCGTCCGTTGCGAGGACCAGCTGGAATGTGTTGGTCTGAACGATTCGACATTTAACAGAAAAAGAAAAGTCAGTCTAACTGAGTTACACAAACAAGCATCTGATTGCTTGCCAAAAATTTGCATATATATTTTATTTTTCAGGAGGAGAAAGTAGCGTTTGTGCTCAAACGTTTCTGCTTGCCATCCCCGCTTTCGTCCCTTTGTCCGCATTGCACCCATGTGCCTCGTTAAACTCCTGTTTGGGCGACGGCCAGCTGACCGCACGGCGCCTCGCGACGCGACGCACCCCAGGCCAATCGTGGGAGTCGCGCCAAGCCGCACGCCCCGCCGACACGCCGCCCCCTCTCTGTATAAATCTGTCCCTAGTGTCACGCCACATATATATATTTTTTCTTTCTTTCTAGCATTTTTGTTCATGTGGGCAATCCCAGGCGGCGACATTTTCGCCCGTTTCCTTAGCGGCGGCCAGTTATTTCACTGGAAATGAAAACGAAAGTTACGACTCGCGCATTCTTGTTCGGGCGGCCGTTTACAGAGCACGAGGACACCAAAAAATTAGCATTCCTCTGGAATGTTGCACCTCTGAAAAGTACGAAGTCCTGCCTGAGATGATCCCAGTGCCCCTGACACCTACAACGACATGCACTCCGGCCGACACCTCAAGAGAATAACGCAAGCACGTAAGCATTGTGAGGAGCAACGCGTGTCTTACAATCAATTTAAAAATCCAAATAGGAGGAGATAAAAACGAAAACTTGTTGCAGTGGCCCTTGGGCGCTACGACCTACGATCGTAAACCCTTTGTGGAATTGCCCCCATTTCTCTGGTTGCTTTTTAGGGCGTGGCGTGAAAAGAGGTAACGATGGTTCAGTCCACACAGCGGTGGGCGGCGTGACGGACAGGAGGGACTGGACTCTGCTGGCGCGGCCGGCCGGGAGGAGAAACTATGTTTTTCTCGAGCAAACAGCAGTGTCTCGGCGCGCCCGGAGGCCGGCCGGAGCGTCGCGCGTCGTGAGCCGTGTAGGCTGTGCGGGCGCGGTCGGAGCCGGGCCCGGGGGCCCCCGTACCGAGCTGCCGCCACCTGCCAGAGCGCGAGGTGGGGCGTGCCCGAGGCGTGCCGGCTGCGTGTCCCAGACTCGAAGCCCGACGCCGCCCCCAGCAGCCCCCCAGGCCCAACCGTGCGCCGTGGTTCGCATCCCATCGCATCGCGTCAGCCACCCTCCTCTCGCCCCCC